CCCCCTTCTCTCCCTCTCTCCCTCCCCCTCCTCTCCCCTTAAATACAATTTATTATTAAAATCTGGTTAATGATAAAGAAAACATTTTCATTAAAAGTATTCAGCATTTTTTCACAAAGGGTTAATTGTTTATAAAAATAAAAACAAAATGTAGAAAACAAAAATGATTTTATTTGTATTATTTATTTTTCTTCTTTTTTTTTTTTTTTTTTTGATCGTACGGGAAACCACCCTTGAAGTTGCACCCGCATATTTTAAAACGTCCTGTATATATCTATATATATATATTTATGTATAAAGGTTGTATCTACAATCTACATATAACGTAAGTTTCCCATTTAGCGAACGCAAAAATATATATATAGAGAGAGAGAGAGAGAGAGAGAGGATGACGCGTTATGCGTTTTCGCATCGGTGCGTTCGACGTCCATAGAAAAATATGAATATTTCATCAGATGAATGGTGGTGGTAGTAGTGGTGGTGGGTGGTAGTGGCGGCTTCGTACACAGGATTGGAGGAAAAATTAAAAAAAAAAAAAAATAAAAAAGTACGCTAGAACGATGAAACGTCGAACGTGTTGCACTTAAAGTTAATAGCATGAATAAATCAATCTTAAAATTAAAATTTCAATATGATATAGAAATTTGAAATAATATTTACATATGTGTATGTGTGTGTGTGTTTTAAACCTATCAAATATATGTTATTATTAAATACACATACTTAAACACACACACACAGACAGAATAAAAAAAAATGATATTAAAACATGTGTATTACATTAAACGTTTAAATCGTACATTTAAAATATGCACACACACACACATACATTTATATTATATTTTATCGTGTAATTATATTTATCATGTAAATTTTGAGTAAAAAAAAAATAAATAAAAAAGAAATAAAATATTCATATAATATTAGATTTTTCTTTATAATATTTATATAAAATACTAGGAATGCCCCGCCACACGTTGCTGTGGCTCACAATCAGTCCGATACACACACGTCTTTAAATCAACGAATTACCTTATACCGCCATCTGTTATAAACTAAAAGATATAAACTATCCTATCTTTCAAGTTGGATGAAACTGCACACATTGTGCAAAATTTGATTAAAATCGGTTCAATAGTTTAAGAATCCATTGCGGACAAACAACGTGACACGTAATTTATATATATTAAAATTATTATAATGAAATTTTATTATACAATTATTAACATATAATTAATTTATATTATATAATTATTAATTGCTAATACATCGTTTATAATAAATAATGGTAGTAATTTAACAAATTCCTACGCGATAATGATATAATAATTAATATAATATTTATTTATATATTATTCATATTATAATTTATTTGTTTTTTAATAAGAAATATATTTTATAATATTTTTTTCTTTGCCCCCCTTCAATCCAACGATAATATCGTTGCAGTCATTATTCGTTAAATCATCGATCGGATTTCAAACACGACTCGAGTTTAGTTTGAAAATTATGGAAATACCGTGAAAACGTCATATACAACTGACTGAACGTGAATGAATGAGAGTGAATGAGTGAGTATGAGAGAGTATAAATCTGAGTGTGAAAAAGATAGAAAATTCAAAAAGCGTGTTCAACTTGGATCGAAGCAACAAACACAACACAACACAACTTTTTCCCCCAACCGATATGATCAAAGATATATATATATATATATATATATATATATATATATATCACTACTACTATTAATACTAATACTAATACTAGTACGTCAACGCGAATTATCGTACTAAAGGGTTGGGGGTTGAAAAAATAAACGGCGATTGGCTGTTAAACGGTACACAAATGTCACCAACAAACGAGGATTTACGATTCTATCTCAACGACAGATAATTTACGTTTTGCTTTTAACCATCAAACCATCACCCTTTTCCCTTTTTCCCTTTCTCTTTCACTATCTCTCTCTCTCTCTCTCTCTCTCTCTCTCTCTCTCTCTATCTATCTATCTCTCTCTCTATCTCTATCTATCCCCCTTATCACCAAACCTCTTCTATTTCTTTCTCTAGAAATATTAATAAATATATAAATAAATAAATAATAATGATAATGATGATGATGATGATGATGTTGATGATTAACAGATTGATTAACAGAATTTGATTTTTAATTATCTAATCAAAAATATTTTCGAGGTATTTTATCTGTTCATTATTGTATATTAGATCGAGTCATAAGTAACTTCCGATGCGTTTATGTAGAATCTATTTTTCGTATTTACCTACTACTAGGGGTTCCCTGCAACGCGTTGCTGTGCTGACTCACAATCAGTCCGATACACACGTTAATAAAATACTATTGCAATTATAAATTGAGATATAAATTATCCTATCTTTCAAGTTAGATGAAACTGCACACAGTGTGCAAAATTTGATTAAATTCGGTTCAGTAGTTTAAGAGTCCATTGCGGACAAACAACGTGACACGTAATTTATATATATTAAGATATAAGTCACCGAAACTAACGAATTTTTGATATCACTGTATATAGATGAGGATTCAGTTTAGTCTTCTGTCAACCTTTTTTTATGTAATCAATGTTACATTTAACCGTTTTTTCTTAACCACTGTAATGGATAGTAAAAAGTGCATATTCGACCATGTAATGCTTTAAGAATTGAAACAACAAGGCAATAGCACTAAAGTGGCAATTGAATAAATATACAGCTTATACAGTGCAGGACTGATAACTAATAAGGCAGTCAGAAATTGGTTTGTAAAATTCCGTTCTGGAGATACGATCTTAAAAGATGAACCGAGTGCAGGGACGTATTTTCAACTTTGATGAACCTTTTAAAGGTAATATTGAGAGCAAAATCCAATAGATACGTTGAACAATTGCAAAGAGTGCAAAAAAAAAAAAAGAAAAACTCCATGAAAGGTGTCTTGCACTTATCAGTCGCAGAAAAGCGTCCATTCTTTCTTTGTCTCATTAAAAAAACGGAAGTTATTTATGACTCGACCTAATATTATTATTTTCATTTTGAATAATAATAAATAAATGATGTAATAATAATTACAAAAGCTATGAGATTAACGGGATTTAATTTTCAACTATCTAATCAATAGATATTTAAACTAATTTATTAATTTATTATTTATTTAATTCTCTATATTTTGTTTTTCCTCTAATTTAATAAATAAATGTTATAATAATAATTAACAGTTAGAAATAAGATTTGTTTATCAATCTCTTCAATTTCAAGATATCTTATTCGTTGATTCATTCATTCATTCATTCATTCATTCATTCATTTTATTTGCTGACGTACTCTGTTAATAAATCATCTAAATGTTTCTTATGTAAGTAAATATATTCTTTTCTACCCTTATCCTTCCTACATCCCCATACACACATATATATATATATATATAACACACTCAATTCGTTCATCTAACAAAAACATTTCTTACCAAAAAAGAAAAAAAGAATAAAAACAAGCGGAAAGGCAATTAAAAAAAAAAAGAAAAAAAATTACACAGAAAAAAAATTAGAAGATAATTTAAATAAATAATATAAACAAACGAATCAACAAACGACCAATTAAAATACAATAATAATAATAATAAAAAAAATTTATTTAAATTGCAAATTTAATTATAATTCATTCATTATTCTATTTCCTAGAATTCTAATGTGAGAAGAAAAAAAATGATCAATAATAATAATAATAATAAATAATAATAATAATAATTCAAATTTATTCAAGCAACATATGATAAAACAAATCATATAGAAAACACTCGTTGTTCCGTTCATTTAAAACTAATGCGAGAAACTCTTCCATGATTTCTATTAAAAAAAAAAAAAAAAAAAAAAAAAAGACAGAAAGAAAAATATAAAAAAAAAAAAATAAAAAAATATTATACAGAAAAAAAAAAAATCTAAAAACAAGGAAAAAGAAGATAAAAGACCATCTTCCTCGATGCACTTTCCCGATGAAAGTTCAACTACATTCGTAAATAAGGAAGGGAAAAAGGGTGTAAGGGATCTTCTCTCACGAGAGATCACACACACACACACACACACACGTCCCTTTTCATCGTATAAACTTTTCCAATGGTTTGTCTCTCGTCTCCTTTTTTCTAAAACTCACCTCCTTTTCCTATGTCACAGATGCGGTGAGTTTCTTCTCTTCTTCTACTTCTACTTCTACTTCTACTTCTGCTGCTACTGCTGCTGCTGCTGCTACTACTTTTACTTCTACTTTTAATTCTTCTTTTTCTATCTTCTATCTTTTATCTCTTATCTTCTTCTTCTTCTTCTTCTTCTTCTTCTTCTATCTTCTATTTCTTCTTGATATTTTTTTTTCTTATCTTCAAACTGTCGTTCCACCTCTCGAAAAAAAAAAAACCTCTTTTTAAATGACAACTAGGTAAGAAGAACTCTTACTTTACGAAATATCTATCGACGAATCACTCGAAACTTATTTGTCTTTTTTTTTTGTTAACCCCCTCTTACCCTTCCTTTTATTTTAATTTTTTTCTTTTTTTTTTTTGATTTTGCAACAATAATTGAATTTTTTTTGTTTAATTAAATTGTATCAAATACAAAAACTACAAAACTCTCAAACTACTAATAAATCATACGATGAACCTTATACATAGATATATATATATATAAGGAACATACATTTATATTTAATAATAACAATGATAATAATTTTAATAATAAAAATTTGAAAAAAAAAAAAAAGAAATTGCACCGAAATCGAACACTTATTAAAAATGATTACAATTATTTAAATTTATTACACGTATTATTATTATTATTATTATTATTATTATTATTACGTGAAATTGTTAGATATATATTTATTTAATTATTTATTTAAATAAAAAAAAATAAGAAGATGTTAACTATAATACGTGAACCAACGACACGGACGAAGAAAGAGAAAATGAATCGAGACGACACGTTCGGTTTGGAGCGCGCGAAGCGACTGAGCCTTTTCCGAGTTTCGAAGCAGCTGCTCGGCGACCGAGTTTACCCGAACGATGACGAGAACACCCGTTCGTTTCTCCGCGACTAGATACTACGCTAGTATTACAACTACTACTACTATAACACTTGTCTAATTTTCCTTCTCACATTATGATCATCCTTGTCATTATTGTTATACGGTTTTTTTATAAATAAATACAATATGTTTAAACAATTAATTATTTATTACAATCAGATTAATTTCATTCTAAATACGCGAATTATTTTTTTGATATATTTTTAATTAATTAAATAAATACGAAAATTTATCAATTAATTAATTAATTAATTAAAATATTATTAATAAAAAAATATATTTTTTCTCGTATGATAATCGTTGATTATTATCGTGTTGTTTTTTTTTTATAATTAAATCGCATATTTTAAAACTAATTTTTATTACAACGTGTTCATTTAATTCTAACACTACGTAAATCATTTGTTGAATAATAAATAAATAAATTTATTTATAAAAGATTACTATAATTAAATTATATTAACTTGTATAATTAATTAATGAAATCATTCAATTGGAACGAATATTTTTGTTTAAATCGCATCACGTACACCCACCAACCACCTAGCGTTATATAAAAGAAAGTTAATTAATTTATCAGTAAATAATATTATCAGTATGATACGTTTGAATAATTCATTATTATTTAATAATTTAATAAATAATCAATATAAAGTTATATCGATCTGTGTTTTCAATTTGATATACATGATCAGTTATTATGACAGTTCAAAAATGTCAAATGACTACGTTAACATTTACTGGTTTTTTTTTTTTTTTTTTCTAATATAATTGCATTCTAAATATTACAATATTAATAATAATAAAACCACCAATATTAAAATAATAATATTAAAATAATTGTAAGGTATATATATTTTTTTTTAAATAATTTCACTTACAATGAAATTTTGATCAGTGTCATAATTGTCACGTAACTACTTGAATCAAAATCAAAATTTATTATACAATCCGAACGAGATGAAATGAAAATAGAACATACGTTTTATTTTTATTATCCTGTTAAAAAATCTCACATAACGTTTTATTTCATACACCATGTAACACATAACCTCTTTATTACAAGAGTCTCTACCATAATTTCTTTTCTCTCTCTCTCTCTCTTCATTTTTATTTCTTTCTTTCTTTCTTTACTATCCTTTCTCTTATTTAATTCACTTAAAAAAAAAAAAAACACTATGACGAAGTCTAAAAGATCGTTGAAGATAATAAAATAAAAAAAAACCACCTATATCCTTTTAAACTAAAAAAAAAACAAAATCTTCTCGCTAACCTCAAGAAAAATACAAAAAATAAAAATAAAAATAGACAATTACATTTGACTAATTCATTTTACAAGAAATAACGATTACGTTAGGTTACCTGTCTGTCATTTCGTAATAATCCAAAATAACTTTTCCTATGTAATTTTGAAGTCATACATAATTGTTAGTTCACATAAGAAGATTAATGTTTCCTAATTATACATACTATATATATATATATACATACAGTATAATCATATTAATACACTACTGTAAATTTCAACACAATTTTCAAAATAAATCAAATAAAATAAATTCCATTCAAAAGTATTCAAACATACAGAATAAAATAAAAAGAAACATATTATCGATTAAATATATTTTCATCCTAACCTAACTTTATCAATAAAATTGAGTAATCTTAAATAATAATAAAAATAATAGATGATAATAATAAATATTAAGTTATTTCATTAGGTCGTTTACGTTTTACTGAAAGAAATGCGAGAACGTTAATTTAATAATTCTACTTTACACATATACACACATAACCTAAGAAAATCTTATCGGTAAATCTAAGACATACTAAGTTCGATCCAATTAAGATCGAGGATACTAATTGCACGACTAAAGGAAAGAAGATATTTCCCAGAAACCTAAGTAAGAGTCTTAATAATAATCTAGCAAAGTGAAAGAAAGAAAGACTAACTTGGTGGGAGGTTAGGAAAAGATGGAGGGAGTTGGTGGAGAGGGGGATGTTGAAGAAATATGAAAGGAAAGCAATAGGTTTGATAGGCTTGAAAGGTTTGATATTTATGACGCCTACGTTACAAGATAATAATCGATTAAGAGGTACCCAAAGATTTTTTTTTTTTCTTTTGGGGTCACACAAAAGTACGAAAGTAGGACTCACATGGAATCTCATAGAATTTGATCGGAATGTGTTGGTTAAAAGGCCGATGAATGAAGGTCGAAGATGAGCTCGTTTGACCGGTTGTCCTTTCTCTCTATCAATTTTTATCTTTTTTTGGTCGTTTTCTTTTTTTTTTTTTATTTTTTTTTATCTTTATCTTAAATTATAATATTAGTTATTATCCGTTACTTTAATACATTTTCTACGAATACATTTTTCACTTCGAATTATCTTATCATTTTATTTTAATTCCTATATATCATTTTTTATTATATTTACAGTTTAATGGATATTAGGATATAATTAGTATGTAAATATTATCATTGAATTTTTATAGCATTGATTTTGAAAAAAAAAAAAGTTAGGTTAGGTTTTGTTATTTAACGCGTTGATTGAATGTAATTTAAGTTAATTGATTTAACGGTAAAATAATATTAAATAATTAGTAATTATGGGTAAATTTAGATAATCAATGATTGAATGTAATTTAAGTTAATTATGTTTAACTATGAAATAATATTAAATATAAAAAATGCAAAATTATATTAACAATACAAAATAACAATAAAATATTATTAAGAAATTACTAATTATAGGTAAATTTAAATAATAAATTATTTTGTAATTTAATTTGAAATACGATTGTTTGTTACAAATAAACCTAACCTCAACTAATAACAATTCTAATTAATTCTAACTAATAAAATTATTATTAATTAAAAAAACTACAATTATTTTTTAAATAACGTATTATTATATTATTTAATTTAATTAATATTTAATTAATATTAAATTTATAATTAATAATTATCTTAATATATATATATATATAAAAATTACGTGTCACGTTGTTTGTCCGCAATGGACTCCTAAACTAATGAACCGATTTTAATCAAATTTTCTACACTGTGTGCAATTTCATCTAACTTGAAAGATAAGATAGTTTATATCTCAATTTATAACCGCAATATTATTTTATTAATCGCGTATTATTTGTTTATTAAGAAAAGAGTCATAATTATCTCTGCTAGTTCTAATATTAAACTATATATATATACATAAATTAAAAATATATGTATTAAATACATACTCAAATAATCTATTGTACACGTAGCACAGATTAGAATGCATAAATCGTATAATAAAATGGTAATAGGATCAACTTTCTAACCGTGAGAATATATTTTTGTTTTGTCTTTCCTTATTCCGGTGGCACACGACGACGATGATCTTCTTCTACTCTAACAAAACGTTAAATCTAAAGTAAATAACACGGGGTATATAACACTTCGTAAATAATAATGTTTGTTAGTTCCAAATAGTGTGTGTTCTCTTCTATCTAAACCACATTCCCCCCCCCTTCCTCTGCCACCAATTCTCCTAACCTTTTCTATTTCTATTTCTTTCTTTTATTCTCTCACTCGTTCGAATGAGATATATATATATATATATATATATATATATATATATATATATATATATANATATATTTATACATCTTATTTACATCGTAGATTTTTTGTATGTTTGATGAACTTGACGAGACATGAAGGAAACAAAACACATACATACACACACACACATACACACACAAGTTGGTTAGATCATCGAATACTTTCTTTCATCTTTACACATATTTGTATTTTATCAAAGATAATAACTGAGTGAACATTTTCGTGGAATTCTTCTTGTCATTTAGAATTTCTCTTTTTTTTTTTATCTGTTTTACTTAAAATTTCGAAATAACAAATGTTGCAAAGGTTGTTTTATGGAAGAGAGTAAAACGATGATTAATTTTATTTTATTTTATTTTACAAGAGTATTGGAATTGTAAATCAATAGTATTTTAAATAACTGAACAAATAATTTCAGATTCCTAATTATTGTAAATAATTAAATAAAAATAAATTACAAATAAAATATATAGTAATATTAATTTAAATTAAAATTAAAATTTGTATTTTGTAATATTAATTTAAATCAATATTAACAATATATTTTTAATTAATATATTAATAAATG